CTTCCCCACTTCTAACTGATGCCTCGCATACATATTTGTGCATGTACTGGCAAGCAGCCCTCCACAGACGCTAGGAAAAGATGCTGAGAGAGGGACCGCTCTGCGGCACTGGATGCAGTCAGTCGACAAAGTGGGACTGCGATCCATCCCACGACACAAAATATCAGACAAAGCAGAAAACACATTGTCTACTTACTTTTTCTCGCATTAACAGAAATCCAGACAGCTGTCACTGAACTGCAGATGTAGAAAAGAGTCGAGAGTAACTGCGGCTGTCGCCATATTGTTGCTGCTATCTTCCTTCCCAGTGCGTGCGGCTACCCTGCATAATTGATGACTCTCAGCAAATTGTTAGGGAGTGTCGGTAAATGCCTTTAGTTTCAATAACGGACAAGAGACCGCAGCATCGTAAGCAGAAAAAAAAAAAACCTCACTGTTCATGTAGGAGCAGTCATTGATATTCTGGTTGGGATTAGTATTGGCAACATATCTGTTTTCATCCCGATCTGGTATGAAAATAACTGCAGTGTGGGATTACATCTTATTTTTAGAATTAGACCTGGAAATAAGAAGACCCATTTAACACAACTCTGAGCTCACAATGAGAGTTTATGTAACCTTAAAAACACAAGGTGGTACAAACATCAACAACTGCCCCATTCTTAATGTGGTTTACAAATTAAAGTTTGATATGAAATTTGTGATTTATTTATGTCATAAATAACTGATTTTACTTCAGTATATGCTTTATAGATATAATAAACAAATTTTTATAATCACAGTGAATGTATTTAAAGTCCACTCAGCATACTGTTCTTCAAAACTATAAATTGAAAGTGATTTTTACAAACCAGTGAAGCAGTTTAGTAAAGTTGCATTGTTTATTCTTGAGTAAAATGGACCCACAAATTAAATAGGGCTGCAAATAACTATTGATTATTCTGTCAGTCATTTTCTCAATTCATCGATTAGCTGTTTGATCCACAAAATATCAGAAATTGGTGAAAAATATTGATTACTGTTGCCCAAAGTCCAAGATGACATCCTCAAATGTCTTGTCAGTCCACAACCCACATACTGAATATCTTCTATCCATTCAATTTACTGTCACAGACGACCAAAGAAACAGGATAATATTACTATTTGAGAAGCTGAAACCAGAAAAGTTGACAAAAAAAGAAAGATTTTCTGATTATCAAAATAGTTGGCGGTTAATTTAATAGTTGCCAACCAATTGATGAATTGATTAATCGACTAATCCTTACCGGGGTGTAACTTGTAAGGTATAAAACTCAGTAAGACTTCACTTATCATTCATTTTAATATTTACACTACTGGTTTTCCTACTGGGACATATCAAAATATCTTCTGTGAAAAAGTCCCATTACTGTAACTGAGATCCACATTGCAGACCCAGTGACCAAAGCTTTAAGTTATTTTTCATGAATATTAAAAACCTGGTATAACTGTCTCAGAAACCTTAGCCACTAGAACCACATATACTTAAACCCCTCCTGACACCAGAACTCTATCTAGAGCCATATTCTGGTATTTCCCATAAGCATAAGATCTCTGATCTAAGCACAATATAATACGAGGTTGTGAATGCAGTCCTATGAATGCCTATAATATACAATCAAATATTGTATATGATGCAGGCAAAATGCATGGACATGTGTGCCATCAATGAACAAAGTTGGTTACTTAATGGTTTACAGTTGGTTAATTGGTGTTGTATGGAGCTTCTGCCTTTCCAACCACTTAAATTTCTTCTTATGTTTCTGACTTCAACTAAAGAACTTTTAATATTTCCACAATGGTACTCACATATCTGCAATATGAATGTAATAGTTCTTAATTCAAGAGCAAGGGGAAATACTTGCACTGTATTTAGTGCTGAGGATGTATATGTTGGAGCACTGGAGCGAACTAACCTTCAGGACTTTGGTTTCAAACCTTGCTTTAAAGGACTAGTATGTAGGATTTAAGGGCATCTAGCGTGTAGATGCAGCAACTCCCTGGCTTCATCCTCCTTTTCCAAGTCCGAAGGAGAAAATAGGATGGTTGGGAAATGCGTGAAAAAATGTGAAAGCCCCATTTACAGCCAGTGTTTGTTTGTCCCTCATGGGCTACTGTAGAAACATGGTGGACTCCATAGAAGGCGACCCACAGCGTCTAGGTATAAAAGTCTCATTCTAAGGTAACAAAAACATAATGATTCCAATATTCAGGTGATAATACACTAATAAAAACATAGTTAAGCAAATCATATCCAATTTCTGCCAGTAGAGCCTCCTAAATGTCACACACTGGACCTTTAATTAATACAGTTTACTCTGTAATATGCTGTCTTAAACAGACAGACAATAAATAATTAGATATGGGCTATTCAGCAGACTGGGTATGTAACTGTAAATGGGTTTTTGTAAATGGGTTTTGTTTTTGTGGGTTTTTGTTGTAAATGGGTTTTTGTTTTTGTTTTTGTTACCACAAATGGTCTATAATGTTGTCTGTAGCAGGAGAAAGGTTGGTGCAATACTAATATACACACTGCTCACATTCAGTCACTGAAATAAATCACTTAAATATATAGTGACCCTTTGTCTAAAGCCTTCTCCCTTCAAAATACACAGTTAGAGGATTTTATAAAGGAAGTGCTTTGAATGTGACCTAACAATGTCTCTATCTGGTGGAATTTCGAAGAACTGCAGCTTAAGGTCTACAGGAAATCACATGGTTGGCATGCATTTTCATTCCTTCAGCTACTTTCAGCATTTCAGTGAATTTCAATATAGTGAGCATGGAAAATATTGAAGAATATAACACCATTCTCATTAACTCTTTACACAGTGTGCTGTAGAAGGGACAAAGAGATATCAGACATGAAGTCAGACTATAGCCATAGACTAAAACCCAGAGATTGTCTCTGGATTGCCCAAGGTTGAGTTAGGAGGGGGACTTTCAGACTGCTTTGCATATAGCAGTGAAGCAAAGTGACTTGGACCAGATAGGTGGTTAAAAAAAGGCGGGACAGTTCACCCCAAAATCAAAAATATTTTATTTTTTTCCTCTTACCTGTAGTGCTATTATCCATCTATATTGTTTTGGTGTCAGTTGCCGAGTTTTTGAGATATTGGCTATAGAGATTTCCACCTTCTCTCAAATATAATGGAACCAGAGGGCACTCGGCTTGTGGTGCTCAAAGTGCCAAAAAGTACATGTTAAAAGCTCATATTTTCTTTACAAACTACACCCACCAGCTGTAGCTGAACATTAGCTATCTCAGTGGTGCTAGGTGGGCTAGTTAATATTACAGCTCAACAGAGGATGGCATCGATGTTTACATCCTGCACTGTCACAAGCACAAGCCTCTCATCCATGTGTAGATTCTGATACGTAGAAAGAAATTTGTATTAAACCTCTTCTAGAGGAATCAAATAGTGGGAAGATGGACAGAAAAAGGCCAAGCATGTGATGCATATTTCATCATTTATCAGAATCAGATAATTTAATAAATCATTTATCTCATTTATAATTTTCTTGCCAGATTCACTCAGATGCCAAATTGCTGTAGATTGCGAGCCAGCTGCCTTGTCATGTGATCAACTACTTCAATACACCTTAAGAACAGATATCACTGGGGCCACTACAGAAAATGTACACATTTTTTATCCAAGAATTGTTATTATAGACACTACCGCTGACCATAACCTACAAGGTCCAGCTATAAGCTAGGCTTCCACTTAGTCTTGTTGGTGCTTTGAGCACCAAAAGCCGAGTGCCATCTGGTTCCATTATATTCAAGAGAAGGCAGTTATCTCTATAGCCGATATCTCCAAAACTCAATTAAAACAATCTTATATTAATAGCACTACAGGCTCAGTAGTGGTGTACCTATGGACTAAGGTACAGTATAATTGCCAAGCACTCCATAAGTAGTAGTACAGTGACATTTTGTTGTTGGTTTTGTCTCTTTAGTCCAGCACAATGTTTGAGTTAAACAATATAGCTCTAGTGTACAATGAGTTGAGATTGTTTTGAGCTATCAATAATATTCCACTATGTGGCCACAATATAGAATTATATGGGATAAATAACTATGACTAATCCCTTATGGTTTGCTTGCAATGACAAACACACTAAGAGTTATCATCAAATTCTTCAACTATGCACTTTTGAGTCTGTTTTAGCTGAATGTGTTGGTTTGGTTCAGTCTCACCGCCCCGCCATCAACCCTGTCTGGGAGCGTGCTATCAACAACAGCACCAGCAAGCAGCTGTTGAACATTTTATCTAAACAGGAAGTACCACATGGCAGACAAAGTTGGCAACTGACGTTAACATCAGTGAATGAAGACAGTTGAATAGCTTGCAGGCCAAAGACTTTGAGTATTTTTAGTTTTTGGAGACAAAACAAGAGCCGATATATGCAGTCAAAAACAAGATCCCAAAAGGATGCTTATGTGAATCCCTTTCTGCTTGTGCCAATTGCAAATCTCACCTATCAATACTTATAACTAATATGTCAGGGTTGGGGGTTTATTGTCTTCTCCCCCAAAGTGGCAAAAAACTAATAATTAATGCAGCTTCAACATTAAAAGTCAGAACTTGAACTACTTTAATTTAAAATGCAATGCACTGGAAAGTGTTTAAAACTAGGTAACATTACTCAGTGTTGTATAACTCAACAGACTTTACAGTTTAAAATACTAAACACTGCAATAATCCTAAAATAGTAAAATAATGTGTATCCAGTGTTTGGTCTAAAATGTGACCATTACATATTTGTGTCTGTATCTTAAGTTAGTCCGTTTAAATTCAGTCAGTTGTTATAATATATTTTAATGGTGATTTGACAAACCAACACGTACTGAACTGGTAATGACTGTAATAAATGGTATACTGCAGTAAGGTCGAGGGCAAAAATAGTAACTCTTCTTCCACTACATAACCTCTCAACTCTTATTTTGAAAAATGCAACCGGACTTCCTCCTTGAGCTCCAGTCTTGCAGCCAGGGAGACAGACAGTTGCTGTTGACAGTCTGCTGCGTGGCATGCTGTGGAGGGTCCGCAAAAATGAGTTTTCTAATGCGATTTTGTGCTTTTGTAGTGAATGTGCTGTGCGTGCCCCTGCACCTGATGGAAGCGGTCGGTCTGTACAAAATATACAAACGCCTCTTCCCGATTTGTTTATATCGGATTTCAATCACGTACAACAAGAAAATGTACGACAAGAAGAAGGAGCTGTTTCGCAGTCTGTCAGAGTTCACCAAGCCCGGCGGTCAGCTCACACTTCTGGAGATCGGCTGTGGCACCGGCACTAACTTTGAGTTTTACCCGCCCGGTTGCAAGGTGATCTGCACCGACCCGAACCCCCATTTCCATAAGTATCTGCAGAAAGGCATGGCCGAGAATGACCACCTCACTTTTGAGAGGTTTGTGGTGGCATCGGGGGAGGACATGGGGTCAGTTGAGGACGAATCGGTAGACGTTGTTGTCTGCACCCTGGTGCTCTGCTCTGTCAGCAGCATACCGCAAACTCTGCGTGAGGCTCACCGCATACTGAGGCCAGTAAGTAATCCCCTGAAATAGCCATTGGATCAAAGTATGAATGGATTCCCTATAGGCTGCATTTGATTGAGACTACATTACTGATAATAGCTGCACGGCAAATGCAACTTCTATTCATCATTTCCCTTGTGGATGAATCATTGGAAATGAATAAGGAACTCACTAGTTATTTGGCAGGCAGCTGTGATTTATTTTACACTGTACAGAATTCACTTTTAACTTTACTGTTGTTATTAAAAACAGCCACACAGGTGTTTAACATGGCTGATAAGACATCTTCTCAGGAATGTACACCATAGGGTGGGTGAGGGTGGGCTGGGATGGCACTGGCATGGGTGGCCTGAAATCTGATTGGCCACCCAGTTACCACCCCATTATCTTAGCCTCTTCCACTCCACACTCTTTCAGAGGCTGTAGCGAGCTTTGTTGTAAAGCCAGAGTAAATATATGGCACCATATGAACCTAGATGACCTACCGCATCAGTTGCTATCATGCTAGCATGTGTGGGAGGAGGCTAATAAGGCTCCAAATTTAGGCTCAGTGTTGGCAGTGGAAAAACTGGCATGTCTGTTTTCCAAGGGATCCCTTGACCTCTGACCTCGAGATATCTAACTTAAAAAAAATGGGTTCTGGGGTTTCCCACAAGTCTCCCCTTCACAAACATGCCCACTTTATGCCAACCCAGTGCCATTTTGGGGGGGGAAACAGTTTTTTGCATGTGGTATAAATGTGGCACATACACAGTGTTGGAATTACATAAATTGGGAATAATGAGACACATAGTTCATGCCACCCTTGCCCCTCACTGCCCCACCCTAGTCCAAAAAAAGCCTGGACACGCCCCTGGTGTACATTGTAATTGATTGCCATCTTCTTGAGTCTCTGGTTAGCTTTGTTGCACCTGTTAGGGTGGGACAAAGTACACCTCCTGTTACCTTTTGACCTGTGTGGTAACGTTTCATATCTGAATCAAGAGTTGATGTCATTGCGCAGTCATCATTAGGTCTGATGAATCAATAATTTTCTACTCCCTTCAGTAGTAATGTAATATTAATGTTCAACTTGTATCGTAAGTTTTTTTATATTTGACAAAAGAATGCTCAGCTTCCAGCCGTAGGCCTTTAAAGGGAAACTTAAAATATACTTAAATATATTAATTATACAACACAAGTAAAGTTCAGGAACCCATTTCTGTCAGGGAGAGAATTAAACAACATGCATCAGGTGGAATGGATATATTTAGAAATGTGCATGTTACACACATAACAAATGTTTGCTTTGCAGGGCGGCGCCTTCTTTTTCCTTGAGCATGTTGTGGCAGACTCCTCCACTTGGTCATACTTCTTCCAGCATGTTCTCCAGCCTGTGTGGTACTACTTTGGCGATGGCTGCGAGGTCACCCGAGAAACATGGAAACACCTGGAGGCAGCTGGATTCTCCGAACTCAAAATGAGACACATCGAAGCGCCGCTAGTCTTTGTGATCAGACCGCACATCGTAGGTTATGCTGTGAAATAGATTCTGATCCAGAGGGTCTGCTTAAGCTTTGTAACTTCTGTCTAATAACCAGTGTGTGAATATGCCAAGCACTAAATGCCTCTCCTCTGTGATGTGATTGATCACCAGTGATAGAGATAGTACCAGTCACTTTTGTACTAATTTTATTTTTGTATTTGAAAAAACAAACAAACTAATGTCTTTGTTTGGTAAAGGCAAATTATTTTAACACACTGATAAAAATCGTACATAGACAGCACACAGTTTGCTTGCAGTTTAAAGGTCCAGTGTGTAGGATTTAGTGCCATCTAGCGGTGTAGTTGCAGATTGCAACCCCCGCGTCTCACTCGCACCTTTGTGTGTAGGAGAAACTACGGTGGCCATAAAAAATTGAAAGATCAAGTGTTGGATTTGTCGTTCTGGGCTACTGTAGTAACATAGTAGTTCAACATGGCGGTCTCTTTAGAGAGGACCCGCTCCCTCCGTAGATCAATTCTAAGGTAAAGAAAACCTGATTGTTAAATTCAGGTGATTATGCACTAATCAAAATATGAATATTATATTCCGTTTCTGCCAGTAGATCCTCATAAATGTTACACACTGGACCTAAATATATCTCAGTGTCTATTTCATCTTCTACCCATTGTTCTCCAATCTCCTAGTTGCTTGCTGAAAACATAAATCAATATGATACTGCCATTTCTGTCGACAGGTTTTTATCTGTGCTACTTTATTTGTACGTTTTATTGACAGTTGTGAAACTAAAAATAGATATTTTTGCTGTGATTGAGCTGATTGTGTTAGTGATTAAAGAGTTTAATCCCGCCGCATGATTTTCCTTTCCTTATTAAACAAACATTGAGGTGATACAGTTGAGTCCGAAATCGGGGGGGGCTTGATCTTGGTGTCACGTTTCCTCCCTCATGCAGACTACATCGTGTTTGCGCCATCCTAATCTTCCAACAGTAACAGTGTCGTCAGAAATAGCTCAGACGCGTTATTATCCGCGCAGCAGAGCGTGGAGAGACGCTTCAGGGACGCGCCGTGCTGCGTCTGGTAGGATTGTCTGGAGCGGTCAGATCCCATGGACGCGGCGCAGCCTGAACGCGTCACGGTGGATTTTGTCTGTAATCTTCTGATCTTATAAACTCTGCTGTCCTAAAATGCTCACCGGCAAGACTTTAAGACTAGTCGAGCATAACATGAAGTCTTGTCTCATGAAATTATGCAGACTACTGTGTTTTGTGTTGACTTTGCCGTTACACCTGATGGAGCTCGTAGGACTGTGTGGTATGTACAAGCGTTTGTTTCCTTTACTTGCCTACAACATAACATTTTCATACAACGATAAAATGCACAAAACCAAGAGGGAGCTTTTCCGAAACGTGGCCAAATTTGCAAACACCGACGGCACCCTCCGCCTGCTAGAGATCGGCTGTGGCAGCGGGGCAAACTTCAAGTTTTACCCGTACGGCTGCACGGTGATCTGCACCGATCCCAACCCGCACTTCCAGAAGTACCTGCGGATGAGCATGGACGCGAACACGCATTTGTCTTATGGCGACTTTATAGTCGTCTCCGGAGAGGACATGGAGGGAGTGAAGGACGACTCAGTGGACGTGGTGGTCTGCACCTTGGTGCTGTGCTCCGTCCGCAACGTGCTGCGGGTGCTGCAGGAGGTCCGCCGCATCCTCAGACCAGTGAGTCTCTATGTGATGCCTTCACAAGCTGTAGGGAATATTTGTATTTGTGACCTCACACACCCGAATGAGCATGGCTGGATAAAGCTGTTAGTGAGCCCCGGAGCACTAAACACACCTGATTATTACCAGTATATAGACATCTGTAATAATGTATTTATAATTTGCATTATACCTGTATATGTCTTAGTATTATCACACATGAACCCACATTTATAAAAGAGTGATGAGAGTGTCACTGTCATGGCAAATGAGCTGTACTGTGTCTCTGGTTGTTGTGACTGATCACTTCTTGCATTCCGGTATTTTTCTACACAAATAAGGCTGCACTGAGGGGCTATATAATGTTTGTTTTTACCAACTGGCCCAAATTTAGCATCATTTTTCTGGAATGACTGCTTATTATTTTTAATATTCATCATCATCTTTGCACTTTCAGAACGGGATATTCTACATACATTTTATTTTGAGAAGCACATAATGCATTTGGTTAATAGATAACATTTGTAGTTAGATTTATATTAGAATTATATTTAGGACATCTGATTAATAGGTAATTAAAATTAGATTTTCTCTCACTACAGTGAACAATAAGATATTTTCAAGGAAGTCTGGGTTTTGAATGATTACACAGTTAATTCACATCTGTTATGTTTTACTATTCCTCCCCTCTGCTTCAGTGAAACAACAACACTCAAACTACCCCCATCACAGTAGCAAAGATACACAATAAACAAGTGATAAGGTGTTTTGGTTGGCTCTCTTACAGGGTGGAGCCTTCTACTTTTTAGAGCACGTTGTCTCAGATCCCTCCACCTGGACATACTTCTTCCAGCACGTGCTGGAGCCTGTGTGGTACTATCTGGGGGACGGATGCATGATTACCAGAGCAACATGGAAAGATCTGGAGGCAGCTGGTTTCTCTGAACTTCACCTAAAACACATTGAGGCTCCAGAGGTTACTCCCATGATAACACCACATATTGTGGGGTATTCCATTAAATGACTGCAGGGCAGACTTCACTTTGCCTGTTGCAGGGCTTCTGAAGGTATACAGTTGTTAGATGTGCTTCAATTCTCATTTACACTTAACAGAAATGCCACACTACATTTATTGAGTGAAAATATATTTATTTACTTACAGAATCAGCAACTTTTCATACACTGTTTGTTCTTCTTCCCCACCCCTCCCAAGATGTACATAATAAATATTACCTGGACACTGTGCATTTTTCCCTGATTGTCTAAGTAACTGCCAAGAAACAACCAAACAAACCATACTCAATGTCATCGTTTCTGTTACCCTTTATATTCCATTGCACAAAAATAAGGAATGACAATTGTAACATCTCCTTATAGGGAAATGAGGGGAATTGCTGGTTCACAAAATAAAGAGGAATTATGTCTGTGTAGTAATTATACAGTCAAAATTCTGCAGATGCTGTTAGAAGGTTAAAAAAAACAACCTCCAGCAGCAACATTTTAAAAACAAGAAAAAGAGGAAAGGGATACATTTAGAAACTGAGACTCAAAGTTAAAGCTCACAATTTCAAACCTCCCAGTATTAAAAATGTACACAACTATAAATGTTATAGCATTAGCAAATTTTTAAAAAACAGCAGGTGGAAAAATGGCCAATTTATTTTGTATTTTTTGAGTATATCTTACTGCCATCACAAGTCACTTTTATATCAAACAGAGTAAAAAAAAACTGGAGGATCTCAGCCTGAAATGCAGTGTTCCCAGAAACCCAGTTCACGGCCAAATGGCTGAGCTGTGCCGCTCCCACATTATGTCTCAATCCTCAACCTCTACTCAAACAGGCTATCCTGTTTTAACACAATAAAGGTCCTTTAATGTTTTCAGTTCTTCGATCAGGGTCTTATTTTGGTTTTCAAGAACAGCTACGCGGTTTTCCAGGCATTTGACATATTCCTTTTTCTTCCGTCGACATTCACGGGCTGCCTCTCTGAAAGAGGGAAAAATGTGCAGTTAGTACAACTGAAAACTTATGAAATCAGTGCACTGACAACACATCACAATGCACAGAGTTGTAACTATTGCACCCTAAAAATTACATGCGTAAGGGATAATTCCCGACAAGGTGTCCGTTATCAGGAATTAATGGATGAAGCAGAGGCCAGAACAGCCTGACATGCAGCACAGGTTGCCTCCGAGAAGTCCATTAATTCCTGATTATGGACACATTGAAAGGCATTACCCCACTTATACCATGGTCACTTACCAAAAAAACAAAAGATCATTATTTTAGATTTTCATGCGTTTTGCAATAAAAATCTAAAGTTTCTAATAAGCTATAACCCTGTTTCCCTGGTAACACCTGAGGTCATTCCTAATACCTGGAAGAATCATTAAGGTTCTAATGCAATGGAAACGTTGTTCACTATTCCAGTAAATAGGATGAACCATAGATACGACTTGGCAACGGGAGATTTTTCTAATTACCTCAGCTCATAGAGGGCTTTGGCTCAGCTATGACACTGCGTACAGCCGCCAGATGGTAAATATGAGTATGTTTAACAACACAAGCTATCAGCCATCATTGTCCCCAAATCAATATCAAGATTTTCACAAACCATAGGGCATGTGTACTGACGGCCACAGCCTGAAGTAGTGAGCTGAATAGCGATCAGGATGTGGGAGGATTGCTTATACAAAGTATTCGTAAGTTCAAAGGGGCAGTGTTGGGGTTTGTGTGTTACAGTCGCCATCCTGTGGTGTTCAGAGGTTGAGGCACTGAAGAACTACACTCAGTGCTGTGAGACATATTCATGAGATATTTAGCTAGGTAGATTTTGTTTTCATTCAATTCATTTCAGCACATTAGTTTAGAAAGGTCCTACATCAGGTATTAATGGACAGCCAGCAGCCCATCAAAGTCAAGTTTTCACCCAGACCATGGTATAAGCCTTAATAAAGGATTTTCTCCATATCACGACCCCTATCTGTCCAAAGCTACAGCTGTAAATCTAAATCAAGTAACAAATGTACTTTATAATGACACTCTTTTTAATTTGGAAAAATATGTCTGTTTCTGAGCTCACCTCCAGTAATGCAGGCACTGCAAATATTTTTTTAACATGCCCACAAAACCCAGAAATAAACTGTACTCCTACCTATTTTTTGCAAGCCTGATTTCCCTCTTCACTGTTGGATCGTCACTCTTGCCCTGAGATAGTCCAACTGGAGAGGTCATAACTACAGTCTGAGGCAGGGAGCTGGATGTTGGACCTGTGCGGATCTGGTATGTTTGCATCTCTCCTCCTGCACCTGTGGGAAACAGGACAGTCAAAAGATGACAACAGGGGTCGTAGTAGCTCACTTGAGAAATCTCACTTGTGAGGGTTACAGTCATTTGTTATTTGTTGACCATAAACACACACACAACCTTAGAACCCATCAGGAGAAGCGTTATTTCAAACACCAGCAATATCTAAATGAACCTGAACACACACAAGGCTCAGGCAGGAGCTATTATATATAGATATTTTTGTGAGAGTTTATTTACTCTTATTTCTACCTTTGTAGTCTCTATAGGAGATGTTTTATACCTGTGTAGATGTTCTAAGAAAGGCATTAACTTGTTAAGGACCTTGATATCAATTAAACCCAAATCCAATCACCCTCTTAGAAGTAAGGCACCTTGAAGCAAAGCCGCATTCCTAACGTAATCCCGCTATGTCAAAAAAAAAAAAAAAAATCAAGAAGCTGTATGTGTGGGCAAGTACCTATGAGATGATAAACTATTAACTATTCCATGCTTATCAGGACGAAAAGACACCGCAGTAGCTTATAATATAACTCTGAAAGATTGTATTCTGATCATCATATTGTTCATCTGTTTCCATGCATGTGAGGTAAACAGTAGTATTAGCACAATGCCTTTCATTACACAGGAGAAGTATTCTACCTGGTATGTGCTTTTACACATATTTTATGTATGTTAGTGTGTTTCCGATGAAGTACAGCTAGGCTCAACTTTTGCTGGACCACCCTGCCTATTCTTTCCTTGTCAGAGCTCTAATTGAAATAAATATTGAGATTATATTTTTTGAGTCAGTGCTCCTGTCTGAACACATTTTGGTATCTGCCAAGCAGTCAAATTAAACTGTGTAAAGTACATTATTTTCATATTCAATACACAATCCAAAAATCAGAAAATGAAAAAACAATGTTATAAATTTATGAATCCAACTCAAAAAACAACAGCTTATTTTTTGTACTTTCAATTTTATACTCATGTCACAAATAGAAAATGTAACCGACCGAAATTGATCTTGATATTAAATGTGTGATTTGCGCGACCAGGAAGTTGCTGATTTATTTGTTTTAATAAACATAAATGCAGTAAATACACTTATGTTAGTACCTGAATTAATGTACGAATATAAGCTAGAAGTAATTTTTTATTTTAAAAAATAAAACACAAGTCTCAATGACAGGACAGGAATGGGGCTGCTTTAGAAGCTGTCTAAGAATCTTCTGGTTTTGAAGAGATTTCTTTAGTATCAAAGTAATTAAGTGATAGTTTTCAGTACATTCAGTGGTACACAGCAGCAAGGAACTGTTAATAGCTAATTGTATTATATATATATATATATATATATATATATATATATATATATATATATGTATATAGTATAGCTTATAACTTCATTTTCCAAAATGTAAACAAATATAAAACGTTGCTGCCGAAAATCTTAACTCACTGTATCCATGGAAACAATAATACAGTTCACAAGTGAAGACATACATAATCATTACATTAAATCACGTAGCGCCTAAAGTATGAAAAATAAGCCATTATTAGTTTTTTGTGTTGGATTCATAAATGAATAATGAAATAATTTTAATAATATTTAATACAATTTAAATGTTTCCATTATGGATTCTATGTTGAATATGCAAAGAATGAATGACACAGATTCACATTAGCTACCTGATGGAATCTCCCAATAATAATATGACTACCGTACATTAGCCAAAATCTTATAAACCTAGATACATTTTCTCAGAATATATCATGTTTTGCTTACCTTGTACAACTACCTGGTTGCTAGGCACCAGTATCTGCTGGCCGTCAGGTGTCTGGGCATACTGAAGGATGGTGGTGCTTTGCTGGGCACCACCAGAGTTGGCCATGGCGACAGCCTGTAGTCCTTGAATGCCATCGGACCCTGGAGTTGCCAGTTGGATTGTGCCATTGGCAGATATGGTAACTAGAAAGATCAAACAGATGGCATCAGAATTGGGTAAAGCACGAGTAAAAATCACATTTTAGATGGCCAGGTTAATACTTTGTATTGCAGTATTGCAGAATACCTTTTTGACAGGTTGAAAAAAATGTCACAGACTTTTGGGGAATTTCACCCATTAGTCACTTTGGCCAACAGTTTACAATAAGCTTGGTTCCCGGTATACAGTTGTCTGGTGAGCATACTAACAAGAAAGCATACAGTAAGTAACCATACAAAATTATCATAGTCATCCCCAATTTTCTTTTAATTGATTAAATGGCCTACAAATTCATAATATTTGAAAGCAATTCTCAATTTCAAAGTCAAATGGACCCTACTTTGGGTCCCACTCTTATTATAGTATAAGTGTATCATAGAAGGGAGAATTCCATACTGTACTGGCCGGTGCTGGTCTGGTAGATTGGGGTGGTGGGTACTGTAACACCTGTCACTCCAGTCGATGCTGGGCTGTTATCTTTTCCCTCAATGTGTGCCACTTCCTCAGATGAAAGTTCATTCAGGATTTTTCTACAAGGTGAGAGGAAGAGGGTCCCCTGATATAGTATTCATCTCATAAAACTGTTTTTGTGTTGTCTGTGTTTGTAGTTGTTTTTTTTTTTTTTTTACCTGTATGACGGCCGTCTTGCTAGTATTTCTCTGGTCTTTTGGGCTGCAACTCCACTGTCTGATGAGTCCTGTGAATCATCACTATCTGAATCCTGGACCTTGACAGAGGGAGGTGGATTATTGACATATTGACAGTTTGAACAAGAAGCTAAGGGCCTGTCCACACGAATACGTTTTTTTCGAATCCGGATAAATACTTTATGGTATCTGCCTCGCGTCCAGACGGATACGGCGTTTTCGGGGTGTGAAAATGGTGTTTTTTGGAAACCAGTCCCAGAGTGGGAAAATCTGAAAACGCCTGATTGCCCAGAGTCGTCTGGACGGCGAAAACGGATTTTCTCCGAAACGACACTGTGTTTACGGAGATTTTTTTCGAAACAACATCGTATTGGGTGAAACCGCGTATTCGTGTGGACAGGCCATAAGAAGACAAATTATTACAGTACCAAGAAATCCATATGGTCTCACCTGTGCAATCTGCACCTGAGGGGACTGAATGACTGACTGTGCAGACTGGATCACTCCTTGAACCTGAAACTGACCCCCTGGCAGCTGTACAACAGCCACGGAAGAACCTCCCAGTGACATCTACAAAAACACAAACACACATTTAAAACCACAAAATATAGTATATATTGTGGCTATTGCATTCAATTTGTGTATGCAAAAAAAGTGAGTTCAGCAGCACATTGAGACTTAAAGGACCTTAAATTGCTTAAAGGGGTCATCATATCATCCAAATTACAAAACATACAAAACCCATTTAATCAGTTTCCTCTAGGTGTCAAACCATGGAGACGGTTTTGGTTTTATGTTAATCTACAGAACAATCTACAGATTGCTGGAAACGGTTTCCACAGAATCTACATTTTACTCAGGAAATAGTCTGTGGCAGCTGTAGATTATCTTGAGTAATCAAGATAATTGTTCTTATAAAGACAAGTGAAATATTCAGATTTTAAAATATTATATTTTATTAATTTGAGAATAATTCAATTCTCAATTATGATAGAGGACTGTGGGCTGAAATCTTCAAGATGGATACCTCATGAAACCAAAACTTCATGTATGACAAGATATCACAAGGGTTTAGTGGAAAATTAAAGTAATGTAAGGTCGTTCTGGTGAACTGATCATTTAAAATCTACTTTAAGAAATCTACTGACTATATTATTTCATCTCAGTAAACACAAAATGGGTCTTGTCACAATACGGATACCTATGTGTTAATTTACCCCAGCCTGAGCTTTAAATCCCTAGAAGTTAAGAACCACTTTCTTATCAGACCTATGAACTCAGACAGTAAGTTGTTTTCTACTGTCAGATACTTATTGAAGGAACTTGGTGCAAATGAAAGACAGCAACAGAGGAGGGCCGACTCCATCAAGCAGGCTAGTCACACTAAACTCCAGATTCAGCAACCCCACCCTTTATTAAATAAATAAATAAATATGTATTTTATTTAAGACTTAATTTATACTGTGCAAATATTTACTATAACTACTGCAAAATGTGATAATGCAAATTACTTTTTGAGGTAAATAAACTGACAGTCTGCTTGATATTTAGACGGCAAGAGTTAAAACAAACTTAATATATTCGATTCGCAATTCATATATTCATGGACAAAATGGACTCGTGGTATCAGCAGTGCAAGAGCTACTCTGGCAATATAGTACAGCACTATTTATAAGATACTTTTTAATGGTATTTTAAAAGGGATCTATTAGTTACCTGTTGGGCTATCTGTGAGAACTGAGAGGATGTGATGGTAGTGGGAATGGTGGTAGTCTGTGACTCGGTGCCATTGCTGCCCTGCTGTACTTCTTCCATAGTAACTGGGAACAAATAAATCAATATTACCGTTTTACAGTGGCTCTAATGTAATAACATATTAGCTGTATGTGGCGGGGTTGCCTGCCTGTAGTGTGCTGTACTCCGCTGAGACCTGAGCGCCAAGTTATTTGTTGGTATAATTAACAACTCATCCCGACTAGTGTGATATCAAATCAGTTTCTTATATTAGCAAACCGTTTATTATAACGTTAGTAAGTTAACGTTAATTAGATAAACAGGTGACTTCAAGCTAACAAAGTTAAAAGATCGACTTCCTCTTTGGATCAACCATGTTAGCAAACGTTAACATGGAGTTACGGAACAAAGCTAGGCCCGACAGTCAATACTGTTAACTTTCCCCCCTTCTAATTTGATTAAATGCAAAATGTTAGAAAGTGTGGCTACTTCATCCATAGTATATATACGTTTGCAGCGGAAACGGCAGTTGCCCTTTGAGCCGTTACTGCTAAAATTTTCGACCTCACCAACATTACCGTTGCTAGTTAACGACAGCTAACGTTCAGTTAAACGGCTGTTAACCAGTTCAAACCGTTAAAAACTACAGTTTAAGAACTACGAGCGAGGCAAGTTTCGTTACTCTGGTTCACAGGATGGATGAGCTTTTGTCTCAATGAGCAAAAATATGTGTAACTCTGTCACTGGCACGCAAGTTACCGCGTCAATAGACGTCAGCGATACGGGGTGCCATTAAGCTAACTACACCTTCCCTTTTCGTAAAACGGCGAGGAGTTGACGAAGCAACAGCCGCCATTACCGCCACAGCGGAGCAGACAGCCAGAAGAGCACAAAAACTACCGCTCAGCCAGCCAGAATTTACCTTTTCAAAGGCCGCGTAACTGCTCTTGTTCACAGCGTGGACTTCGTGCAATTCGTGTATATACTTTGAGACAAGAAATACCTAGAAAAGTTACTTAGCAGCAGTGGCTAACAGCTAAAAATACAAAGATGTCAGCTAAAAAAAATAGCTGACCACTTTTTTCCCAAAGGAAATGGGCGGCGCTACTTGCCAAAGACGCATTACGTAATAGATACTTTAGGCTTTGTGATTGGTGAAAAGAGTTTGAGCAACTGGTGGATGCAGAGGAACAGGAGTGGGACATGTGTTAACATTTAATACAGTTTCTATGCTACTTTATACTTTTACATGTTGCATTTCATTGGGAAGCTGCAGCTACTTTGGCTGTATTTTACACTCAAATCATGTGGTTATCTTATGAAATAGATTAAACAGTAAATAAAGCACTTAAAATTGACCAGCTATAACATTAAAATGCTGCTCACAAAGTAATATATCAGTGTTAATAATCAAATAATAACCCTCTGACACTGACTGACATTTTCTGGGCATTCTGTATAGTAAATATTATATATTTTTAATACTCAATTAATAGTAAATTTAGCTGATAACACTCATTGAAATATTGCTACTTCTACTCAAACGATCTTGATACTTCTTCTACCGCCGATTCTTGGATCACTGATTGTGCCCTTTTGTGTTTGATCATCTCTTCTTGAAACCAGGCCAGAACCATGTAGTCTATGTTTGAACTCACTTGAATTATTTGTATGTTTAACCAATCTTTTAACAAAGCACGACACAGCTGCTGTTTTAAAATTTGTTCCCATTTTCCAGGTAGCAGTCGGTTCACGATTTGAAACATCGGGCCTCCTCCATTTACTTTAAAAGGGATTATTTTAAGGAAACCTCTGTGTGCTGTGTCTTATCATTGCCTGATGTTACTTTGAATATGATTCAAAATTGTTTGGCAAACAATCTCTTTCCTGTCTATTATGACAACTTCTCAAATATGCCTTCACTGTAAGGATACATGTTATGTTATAACCTTTAAATAAAGAGTCTATGCTGTTAGGTCAATTTCAATCACATCATCACTAAGACTCACGACTACCAGGGCACCTGCAATGATTAAATGATTTAGTTTATTCTGTATTACTTTTACATAAAGTATAAAACAAAGTACAACAAACCAAAATAGAAAACAAATGAGAAAAATGGGAAGGGGGGTGTACCACCTTGATTTCTTAACTATATGAGTTAAAACACTAAAGATTCATCAGTGGATCACACCCTCATGGAGCGGGTTTAGAATTCACCAAATAATTCATATACAACAAGAGTGCATACACAAAATATTGATAGAACAACTCAAGAGCGATTAATACAGTCTTAAGTACACTACTGGTTAATTTTCATCAGTCCTCTGTTCTCGGTTATTAAAAAAATGTATAAGCATTATGTATATTGAAATTAAATTGCACCGTCATTGGGATTGCATAGTGTGTTAGAGCGGAAACCAAAGGAAGCCCTCGTAGACTTCCCAGCGAAGCAGGTAGATGGTAGACACTGGTTGTCAGTAACCCCTCTTTTTGCTGATTTGCAAGGTCTGCCTTAATTACAATGAGATTTGTTTACATTTAATGGGTATTATTCACAGATTGCACCAAGGGACCATCTGGTCCATCCCTGTGTCATGAGTTTAGTTCCCTGAATATACATTTTCATACATATATATCTCTCCACTTGTGCCTCGAGATGAGATGTGCCTCAAGCTGCTATCCTCTTGTGCTTGGCTGAGTCATGCAAACATTCTGCTGCAAATGTAGGACACAATGTTAAAGCTAGATGAAGTGCTATTACTCTTCTTTTTTTTCTAGGTGGACTTAGAACTGGGGGGAAAAAAAATGTCAAGCATTATTTTTTTTTAAATTAAAAATATTAAAATGAACACATTTAATGTAACATGAAGTGGGGATAGTTACATCAGTCAGTCACCACAGTAGAACCCCACTGTAAGTACCACCAGTGCAAAGTGCAGTAATTCAATGAATCATATTCCTATTTACCTTGAAATGATTTAAGTATCTTTCTTAAATTGTGTGTTTGGCATGAGTGAATGTTATAATGGGACAATTGCAAAAGTAAAAAAAAAAAGAAAAACTATTTACATGTTGACATTAAGGGTTCATCACTGAAATACAGTATCATCCAGTACAAAGAACCTATACATTATGGCAAGGAGCACAAGGAAAGCACAAGATAGCTGAAAACCAAATACATTTTGCAAATAACATCTTGATGCAATTTTTTTTATCCTTTTCTTTTTCATACAATTACTTCACTTGCCAATCAAGGATGTTTCTCAGGCTGTGGCTCAGCTTTGCAACTGCATTCACAAGTGCTTATAAATCCAGTGACTGAACACAGAAAATAATCCAGATACATGATGACTTGCCTCTATTGACTACAGACTTACAGTACCAACAACAATCCTGTTGGAATTCAAAGTAATTCTTTACAAAGTTGCACAAAGACAAAACACAGTTTCGAGTGAACTTTTTGAGTGTGGAGAGGAAAAGGAAAGGGCCAGACTCTCAAACACTTGCTCTATTATGCAATACGAAACTGAGAGAGGGGTGCGACTGTTTAGCAATACAAAGTACAATGGCGATGGGTATTAGATGAACAGTTGTGGACTATCTTTCACCTTTTTACAAAATAACCTGGTAGCCTGAAAACAGTCATGATATTGGTTTGAGCCTCCTCTCCTTTTCTTTCTCCCCCCAACTGACTGACAGGAAAAGTCCCTGGCATTAACAGTGATAGCCCTCCCGGTAAACTCTCAAAGCTCTGCAGAATAATGTATGCTCCTGAACCATTACATATAATGCCTCATTGTTATAATAAAATAGACAATTTTTTTTGAGAAAGTGCAATGTTATATCTATCCTGACTAACAATGCTTTAAAGTTATTCATCTTTACCCTCCATTATACAACTAATATTCCACTTCAAAAGTACTGTCAAAACTGTTAAATCTTATTTACAATATTCTTTCTGCTACAGTTATCATCTCCCAGCTGGGTTAACTGTTCAGAAACTACCAACTGAGAGAGACAAGTCAAGCATTTATACATTTATACAGTTAAAAATATCTATACAGTAACGTACAGTATCTAAAATACAACAGGCCTTTATAGGTACAGTACAGAATATGGCCCCTTTCCTCTTTTATTTTGATCCCTTTGGATATCTGTCAGGTTTCCCACTACTAGTTAAAACCAAAAGGGAATAAACCGCCATTAATAACAGATTTGTTAAAATTAGGATAGGAATGTATGGCTGAAGTTTTATAAGGCAGGAAATATATTAGGGCAGAAAAGTTGTGAAAATCTATTTGGCTTCATTTTCATGGGACAAAATATGCTTTCTAAAATTATGCACACACACTGGCTACGTGTTTAATGGTTTGCTTTCTTCTGCCCTCTTTTATTCATCCATGTTAGTGAGAAATGACTCAGCGCATGTATTTGTGTGTGTTTGTTTGAAAAGCTGCAATGTAAAAATATTTCAAGTTGTTGATCGAAGTTTAGTAGCTCTTGGAAACTGTGTTGATACACAAAGGAAGTGTTTTAAGAGGTTTGTGGTTACAGAATAAGATGGATTTTCACGAAGAGATGAATATACAATTAATTTCAAAAGTGGTCCTGTTGTATGTGTCGTTTCACCCGTTCCCCAAAAAAAGTGCAACAGGGGCCGCTTTCTCTTTGTCGTATGCAGTACATGCTGCTTTCGTCCCATTTGCAAAATTGTATCTATAAAACACAGTGAACAACTCCAAACATGGCAGGTCCAATCACAGACATGCAGTGGCCAAGGTATGCTGGTGTCACACAGGGCTGGGTGGCAGTACGTGTGGGTCATGCTTTTCCTTTTCACCATCTGCTAAAGCCGAAGTCGGATGCTGGGATGATGGTGCAGAAGCATCCAGACTGTGGATAATGCCTGATCAAGCCAAAACCACCCTTTAACCCCTCACATGTTGTAAGCGACATATATGGGATCCAGCTGGTCAGCGAGGAAAGAGTCACGAAGGTGCATGCGTTGCTTCTCTCCCCTGGAGTTGATGGGTATAACCCCGGGGTCCACAATGACCACCACGCCCACGATGAGGTGGTGCTCCTCCAAGACTACATTGGTTATCAGAGGCACCAGGTCCAGCGCATCCTGCTCTGAACCACACAGCTCCGACACCACCACCAGCAGGTTGGTCCACGTAAACACAGCACTGTGAGGAACAAGAACAGGGTGACTGAGAACATAATCCTAATCCAAAAGCAATGTTAAAGGAATAGATTGACATTCTGGAAAATACATTTATTAGCTTTCCTGCTATAAAGAGTTAGAACTTAACTCACTTTAATCTGTACAGAAAACAAGTCTTTGAGCTAGTTAACCAGCTGCTGGCTGTAGCTTTGTATTGATGTACAGTCATGAGAGTGATATTGATCTTCTCTTCTAACTCTCTGCAAGAAAGCAAATAAGCGTATTTCCCAAAATGGTGGACTATTCCTCTAAACCAACTTTCTATTACTTCAGTATGTGGTCACTCTTTTTGAGTCTCAGTAACGAGAGAGAGAGAGAGAGAGAGAGAGAGAGAGAGAGAGAGAGAGAGAGAGAGAGAGAAAGAGGAAATTCAGTGGAGAGAGGGGAATGACATGGAGCAATGGGCATGGGGCAGACTCGAACCCACACCACTTGATACATGATACATGCTCTACCAGGTGAGCTACCAGACACCAGCTTATCATACTGTTAATTGTATCACCCAGTCAATCAGAGTCCTGGTTCATAGGATTAAAACATAGCAGGGATTATGTTGTGATGTCAGAAATGCTGAATGACAGCTAACAAGAAAACTACAAAATAAACCTTAGCACCTAGTAAAAGTCAGACTTTGTGTTCTTTAAATATCCATTTTCAACAGCACTCCTGTGCATATTTAAGCACTAAAGATTCAATTAAACACAATGGAACTAATAATATGTACTGTATGTATATCAAGAGCATTCTCACCTCTCAGCAATACTGCGGTGAGCCCGGGACACTGAGGTTTCAATGTCAATTGGGTGGTAGCGCAGCCCTCTTAGCTCCAATGTCTCATCCAGTGAGCCCACCACAAAGAGAGCATCATGCCGATCTGAGCATAGAAAAACAGGCAATGTAATCCACCAGAAAAGTATGCAGACAAAGTAGAAGAAAAAACAGCTAGGAGTGTATCTCTATCTCAAAATGAACTCATCAAGACTAAACTAAAGACTTCTGTCAGGGTCTATTTACCCCCACTGGCATCCAGCAGCTCGGTCCTCTTCACAAAACCCAAGTATCCCGTCCTGGCCCATAAGGTCTGTGGGTCTCCAAAGCTGAGCTTGGTGTTAAAGTGGTTGGCCTGAAGACTCTCCTCTCCGTAGATGGTGTAGTAGCCACTGGCACTGTGAGGGCTGTTCACCCAGATCTAAGAGAGAGAAGCACACTCACAGGGTCACAGCTGGTTTCAGAAGGAAGAAGGCTTTACCCACAACTTTGTCAATATACCGTCATGTCATTATATCATCACAAAGATGAGTGTCTATTTACGGCTTCCTCTCACCTCGCCTAGATGAGAATCACCCAGTGGACCTCTGGTCTCTGGATTTACGATTATTACCCGAACACCTGGCAGTATCTGTATATTAAAGAAATGAGTCAATATGCACCACTTTTTCTTCTTGTTCCTACAGCTGAATGTTTGAGCTGCTCACTGTGCAGAATGATGTACGTGCAGAGTTTGACACCAGAATGATGTTTTCACATTCATCTGCTGAAAGTTTCTCTCACTGAAAATCCGATTTTAAGGGGTGGGGGCCTACAAGCATGATTTGTGACATTGAAAATAGTTTGGGAGTCAATCATGGTCCAGTATGCAACTTCTACAGTCTGATGTAGAAACTTGAAGCAATCAGTGTACAAACACTGAGAATAGACTTTACGGTGAATTAGAAGACATCTTAACACAAAAATCAGACATACATTATTTTTTTTATTTGTTTTTTGTCCTAATACATGTCTGGAGGGACGCTTTAATAAGTCATCAACTCAATCTATACCATGGGTGCATTCATGTAGCATCTCACCTTGCCAGACTCCATAAGAGGAAGACTCTGAGGTGCTCCTCTCTCCACCAGCCTCACTCTGCAATGTCACATACATAAGCAGAAATATACAATCATGTATTTAATAAAGAAAAACAGCAAACCTTTTTTTCTAAATGTAAAGTATCCATCTGAATGGATGAATATGTATATGAATATATTACTATATACAGCGTATATCTACTGTTTAGGATTGCTGGGTTTATGAGGTTGATGTGGGAGTTTTTTCTTGTTTTCACCATAGATCTAAGATCTTTTATTGACTGCATCATGATTTAAAGCGTTTTGAATTATGTGATTTAGAAGAGATATACATTAACTGCAGCTTTTATTAAATATGAGTCTGTTTCAAGCGTTTTTATTGCTGCTTAGAAAAAAATATACAAAATGCAAAAGTAGACATCATTACATAATACAATTTAACTCCTTAAATTTAGAAAGCTCATGCTCGGACACTAAAGACTTTCACCCTGGTTGAACTGATCAATGTGTTCCTACCTGTCATGGCGCAGGGACTTCATGTCCACATAAACTGTACAGGGATCAGGACCAGTGGTGCCCTGTAACACACAATACAAACAGATACATACAAGTCCCACTGGTTCTCATCTAGGTATGAGTCTAATTGTACGTATATGTGAAGCCAGGTTAAGCTGGTTGGTGTACCTGCAGGCAAATGGCCAGGTTAACCCTGGATCCAAAAGCAGTGCTGACAGCTCTGGACGACAGCCCCACGTCCTTAAACAGTTTGGAGAAGGAGTGTGAGAGGGCGAGACGAGGGCGCTCCTCTGCTATCACCACACAGCTCCGCACACACGAGAGGTTCACACCACGGGCCTAAAACACATGCACACAAAATTATCAAATCCTTGAGAAATATTCTATGTCTGTCACACATGATTCTCCATCTATGCATGCAGTCCTCACCTTGAGTAACTCAGTCTGAGTGCCAAGTCCTTTAGTGCAGAGCTCCATCACAGAGTAGGAGCAGAAGGTGTCTCTGATACGGTACTGACTGAGCGTGCTCAGCCACAGGGACAAGCAGCTCTCCAGCTCAAAGGGAGGAATCAGGACGGACTGGTGACCTGAGTAAACACTAAAAGACAAGATATGAAGGTAAGAAAGTGGATGAATGGATGAGGAACAACACAATAGAGACCAGAACCATGGTATGTAGCATGTATGTACTGCAGGTGATGGTTTACTATACCTTGCGAGGCACCACAAGACAAAACCCAGACCACAGTAAGGATCTAGGCAGATGGCTATTTGGCGAGAGGAGTACAGTTCACACTGCAGCTTTATAGAGCGACAAAGTGCACTGACTGCTGCATGAGAGATCTGCAACAAACAAGAAAACACATTAGAAACTCAAAGGAAAATGTCACACCGACTCTTTTGTGATTAAGTTTTCTAATTTGTTGGTTTGGTGTACTGACTTTCTGTCTTTGCCTACTTCTACTTTGTAATGTCTTTCACATACTACAGTAAAATACATTTTCCAGTGCAACATGGCTTGTGGCTGCATTGCATTATATTAAGATTCAGGTAAATGTATATAAGTGGAGACTTTGTGTCACTTCTAGCTCTTCTATGATGGATTACCTGCTGTATGTTTTGAATATCAGTGTAGACTGACAGCTTTATAAAGAGGCTATTGACTTTATTCTGTTACTGATACGGTTACTGATTGGGGTCTGGCAAAGGTCAGTAGGTATGAGCTCAATGGCTAATAGCTTTAATAACTTAAATCACTTCTTTTTCTCTCCATGCAGATGCACAGATGTTTTTCAGACTTAAACTTTGTAGTGGGTTTTCAAGATGTGGTCTGGATATGTGCATCTATGATTCTGTGGAACTGAAAAAAACAACCTGTCTCTGCTAATGTTTTGATGGTTTAACATTTTTCTACTGCACCTGCAATAGAAATATGTGACATGACAAATCAGCCATATTTATTAAGCCAGTTATATATAATGAAAAAAAAGGAAAAATAGGTCCACAAATGCACACATCATTGTGCTTCTTAAGTTGGTTATAATTAAGCACCCTAAGTAGAATTTAGTAAAATTTTGAGACTGTATTCAGGCTTGAGAAGTATCTTATTATCTCAATGAAATGCACTGAAACAAATATATAAGTGACACAAAAAAACTGGACTCATCTACCGGTCAGTGAGTCAAAAAGTTAACATCGGACACTGATGTGGATATTGGATTGCTATCAAGAGCAAACACAGCAATGTTTGAAAGGGAACGTTATCTGTCTCACCTTCACCCCAGTGAGCATGCCTGTAGTGGACACGCTGAAGTCAAGATAAGCAATCATCTCTGCTGTAGGCGGCTTATAGATCTGTGGAGGCCGGCGGCGAGGAAGGTCATCTGCAAATAAGAACAGTGCACAGAACAAATTAAACATTAAATGATAATGAGCAATAATCACAGGACAAAATTAATAATTACCATTATGATGTATTTTTTTACTGTTGATTATTGATCTCAGATACTGCTACTAGAATCAGATATTTATTTATTGGTCATGCAAATTCAGTGTAGACACATTTGAATTTGCCCACAGATATAAAAAACAATAAATATAATAATAATAATAATATTAATAATAATAATACGAACACAATGTAGACAGTATAGCTGCAAGCACCAAAAGTGCACCAAGCACTTATCTACCCACAAGTTTATCTACCCACTGAGCAATTTTGGTATTAACTGGAGCATTGCAGATAAATGTCCCTCTTCCTGTTTGTCTTAATGCTGCAAACTCTGTCACAGCAAAAGGTCATAAGTAACTGACACGAGTGTTTCTGACAGAACTGTGCACTTTATACACAACTAACTTTATACTGACTACGATGACGACTACCCGCAACTGATAAGCCTATCTTGAATTTGACTCATGAGAAAGTTAACTACTGTAAACAGTGCATGTATTGTTCATTCAAAAGTAGTCATTTCTTATTACAAATACCTAAAATAGATGAATTAAGAAGACACACAGGTTTTTCTAACCATCTGTATTATCATTTGGTATCTTACCTGTGTCAATGATTGTTGGCCACGTTTTAATGTTCACAGAGGCAGCAGCCTCTTTGGAGCGCAGAGTCCTCATGAGATTTTGAGTGGTAAGGATACATGCAGCTTTACTGACCTGGTAACAGAACACAGGCTTGATTCATTTGAACAGGAGAAGGATCTACAGTATCATGAGCTATCTTCCTATAGCCCAACTGATAGTGGATTTTTGAGAATGATACAGATATTATTTTTGGAATGATGAAAAATCCAATTACAACATGTTTTTTTTAAGTATGATTTTTTTTGCATAAAAACAGTATATATGACCAGGATTTTGTGCTGAGCGGCACAAAATACAGCCAATAACAGGTCACACCTACAGTGTATGCAAGATTGCCTTTAGAAATTATGCGATTTAATGATAGAAAACATTTCACAGTAACTGGATGCCCTTATTGTCAGTTTAAGTCATTATTCTCATGTTTGGTGAACGGCATTTTTTCGTTATGGAGACTTAAGAGGTCTAAGCAAGCAAGAAAATGTTGCTCAATAACAAAACAGAACAGTCATAAATAAATAAAATCATACAAGTTTTAGGTAGTAGGGTCAGCTTAGGTAGCTCAATGCCCAATGTCTCCAGGTTATTAATATATACATAGAGGCTACAACTAAAATAAGACTGTGATATTAGGATTAAATTAATTAACACACATGTATGTTCACAAAAACCAATGAGTATGCAATAACACGCGTGCATGTGCAAAAAAGCACACACACTTACATCAATAATCATGCGGACAGTAGGCAGCGTGGCTGCCAGGTTCTGAGGGTGCGGAGGTCTGACATTTACAGGAACACATCCAGCGTAGAGACAGCCATAGAAGGCGGCTATCAAATCGATGCCTGAGAGAAAGATTGAGGACAAAGGTAGGGTAAAAAAATGGGGACACTATCCACGTCTCAGAATAATTAATCTCAACAGAAGTAAAATGTAGAAAGGGACAGGAAGCCAGAGGCAGGACCCACCAGGAGGATAGAGCAGCACTACGTTCTCTCCAGTGTTGATGCTGCCTTTCTCAGTAAGCGCTGCAGCTATCTTCTCCGCCCGCTTGTGAAGCTGCACGCAGGTCGCTGTGCTCACTGCTACACCCTGAAGGACAGGAGTAATGCACAGAGGAAGAGATACAAATTCACTAAAAACACAAGGTGTAATTCATGTTGCTAACATTTAACATTAATCTTATGCTTTACAGTAAATGAATAGATTGGTTTGGTACCTTGGCATTAAGTAGAACGAAGAGGACATGGTCGGGGTCAGTCTGAGCCCTCCAGTGTAGAGCCTCTGTCAAATACTGATGCTGAAAAAAAAAAACCCAAAAAATAATTATAAGCATGTACTGTACATCTGAGGGTGTGATTTAATAATCTGTATACATGGATGACGTTTGTGCTGATGGAGGAACTTAATTTAATACACCTAAATAAAACAAAATAAAGTGGTGCTCAGAGACTGCATACCTCAGTACACAGCTGTCACAGCATAAATTATCTCTTGCCAATGTGCAAACAATTTATACCACATACTCTGAGCCAATCCAGCTCTTAAATTAATGAACAATAACTTAGATTGCGAAAGGTACGTCTGCAGTAAAACAAGGGATAACAACAGAAGGTGCATATCTTGTGACACAGATAAAAAATGAAAAACAAAAGAAAAAACATGCACATTTTTGCTTGCATCATATTTTAACAGTACACAAAATGAGAGCACAGTACAATGTCAATTAGAGAATGACAAGAATAAATAAAGGTGTGGGGAAGATGCCAGAAGGGGGCCATAATTCTTACCATCACAGTGGGCCACATACAGAGCTACATCCACAGAGACGAGAGCAGAAAGAGAGAAGATTTTTTTACATCTATAATACTGAGCTGTGGCAGAGCCTGGGCCGTTGTTACACAATGCACACACAAAGTCTTTAAACCTAACTATTTTCTATTATATCACACTATGTGAACTGGTACTGATCATGTGCACAGGTTTGCTGCTGATTCTGAAGGACATGCATGTGGCTCTTTTGGAAACTGGAATGTGGTTAAAAAGTAATCAGATACAGAGTTAGTGGCTTGTTGAAAGTGAGAATTACAGTATTTATGGTCACACTACCTTCCGGACGAGATCCTGGTCTTCGATCATGCCGAGGTCCCTGCCTGCAGCCTGGGCAATCCTCTTCCCTGCCACCAGGTTGCCCACCATCACGGATGCAGGACCGACACCGACTACATGAGAAAAATAACACAAAAAAAGAATCCTTGTACTACAGCATAAGTGATAAAGCACCTCCCACGGTTAAGTTTTACCCAAGAAGACCGTAATACTTGTCAGAATTCATAATTGGCTGCAATTATTAACTGACTCGACAGTACAAATTCTACACAGCATTACTGTTTGGGGAAATACTGGGTTAGATGTTTTCAAGGACACAGACTGTGGACATGGAAAGAGGAGCGATGGGTGAATGTGTTTAGTATTTTGGTAAAATGTACAGTTTGTATATTGAATAGGGGCACATCAGTCTTTGTTTTCTAATAGTTTAGGGCTGACCTGGGCAAAATACGGACCACAGGCCGGATTCAGCCCACTGACTAAATATATATCTAACTACATATAATATAATGATAAATAATTATAATATAATTTTAATTCCTGTTAATCAATTATTGGGCCTTCATTCTGAAAGGGGTCAGTGCTGTGTTCTCTGGTGATGATAATGAACTGTATCTTTTACTAAACTGTAACTTTAGCTACTTGATGCTGCAGGTCCATTTGTTTACATGGTTCTTCTTCTGTCTCGGGTTTCCATGGAGTATCATAAAAACGAGTTTTGGACCCTTCCAACAAAAAAAAAAATGTGTCCACAATTCACACACAGCAATTCAGAAAGGGTGACTAACAGTATAAGTGATTACTGTGTTAGCCAGCTATTAGCTCTTAGCTCTTAGACAGCTACATGCAGACTTCATTCCTCCCAGTAGCAACTAATCAAATTTATATCCGGCCCATGTCAGCCTGATCAATTTCTCATGTGGTGCCCCATGGAAACTATTCGCCACTATGGAAATAAGTTTCCTTTAACTTTTAGTGTTTTTATTCTCAGGCTTCAATTTTATGGGTAACACTTTGTGTTGTATGCTATCTACAGGTTGTTTCATTTAGTTTCTTTTGGTATTTTGTGTTTCTGCAGGTCCATATTTGATTGATTTTTGTTTGTTTGTTTTGGTGTTTTGGACAATTGTGTTATGTGTAGGTTGTTTTATGACATTTGCTGAACGGGGCCAACATGGCAGGAATATAACTTTCCCAAATTCAGAAAACTGTTATGTGTGCGTTATGTAACACACATAACCATGCTCTTATTTTACATAACACTTCATATCCTGACTGACTCTGGCATGCGGGACAATCAACAATTTCTCTCCTTCTATCTTTGTGGATACGATCAGTTGTTACTAACCATCATAAAAGGGCTCAATATACATTTTACAAGCCTGGTTTACAGATATGCTCCACCTACCAGGCTGCTTCTGGCGAGGCTTTGGCAGGTTGGTGACACACGTATGGGGACACATTAGGATGTTGCAGGGGTGCAGGTTGCCGTCTAAGAAGAACTGCTTGGTGTCAGAGATGTGGATGCCACCCAGGGGTGTTTTAGGTAAGGTGTTGGCCGGGACCAGAGCCAGACAGTAGAGGCCCACCTGATGGATGCTATCGATAGCCTACAGAGGAAACAAAACATCAAGACAAAGTTTGTTAAATAGTGATTATGAATTAAACCTGATTTTACAGAAATACAAAGTACTTTGCTTACATTTGTTGAGTATGTTTATCTTGACACACAAAAGAAGTGCGCTGTTCCATGTTTACCTGAAGCACTCGGCTCATCCACTGGAAGCTGTCCTCCTCACTGGCATCTGGCCTCTGCTCCGCCACAATCACAACCCTCTCGTCATAGAACACTGTGACTGAAAACACAGTGATCCTGACATGCACAAACACAGAAACACACACAAATATATTAAATCAGAAGTCAGACGTTTTCACAAAAGCCGTTCAAATGCAACCTGAAACTCATGCCATGTTCTGGGCCTGCTGTGCTTCCTTTGTACCACCAGATGTCAGCAGCGTTAAATAAGTATTCACATTTGACCAACAGAGGAGCTCATCTTTTTTCTGAACACACTTTGTATAAAAAGGAACTTGGTGGTCCCCTCACCTCCCGCGGTACACAGTCTTGACCGGCTCCACAGCAAGAGCAGTGGCCACCAAGTCGTCAGCGTTATGCCTCCGCCCGCTCACCATCAGCAGACCCTCGATCTTACCCACCACAAAGATCAGGCTTCCCTGTGCGAAGGGGGGGGGAAGACACACAGCGGGGTCATTATACTGTAAGTATAAAGACCCATTCAAAGACAGAGAGAAGGATGGTTTCTAGGAGGGCTCAAGTTACCTCAGATGTTGTACTGTAATGAAAAGTCCTACTTACTGGGCCAACAAACCCCAAGAGGCCTGACCGCACAAATGGAATCTCTCCAATGGGAACTCCATTAGCATTAACCGGTATCACCTGAAGACGACGACAGAAAATATAGCACAAAAAGAGATAAATCAAGTTAATTATTTTATGAGATTGAATCAGTACAGGCAGGCTGTGGGTGTTAGTATGCATTCATACCTCAAAGGTGTTTTTGGTGACTCCAGGCAGCCCGTAGTACATGTTGCCTCCAGCACGGGAATTTACTATTATCTCTCCTATCTCATCTGTTTTACACAACTGAGGAGGCCCGTCTGGCCTAACAATGCACATTAGAGCTGGAGACACACAAAGGTAACATTTAGAAAATATGGACTTCATAACTTAAAGGTATATTAAATCTTCTGTTATGATTTGGCACTATATAAATAAAGTTCAAAATTAAATCTTGTTTATCTATCAAAGATCTATAATTGCACAAATGTTTTTTCTTCCTCTAGCTGTTGAGGTTGGCAGATCAAAAGATATTCAAGGGAATATAGATTGCTTGAGCTGTGTGATTTTAGAGAAATGGAAAGAGTCTAATTTTCCTCTGTATTGTAGATACTATAATGACATAAGAGCATCAATATTTAATTAAATAGTTTAACAAAACCCTGAAATATTCTGGGGTAGAGACAATGGGAATGGTTATTTCATTTTGATGTGTGTGAGTTACTGAGCAGTCTCAAAAGTTGAAAAATGTGCCTTTGTTCTGAGTTTTCCAGTAAGGCCACAATTACATTTGTATGTTTTGTCATAATATTTATTATGATTTGTGTTGTAGACACGAAGGCCTGAATTCTGAATTTAATGAAGTGTTGTAGGTCAATAATGCTTTTTATGTAAGGTTTTCCCACAAGCACTTTCCTTTTGACTTGTTTATCTTTCCATCTATCCTCACCTCCAGGCATGACATGCCCAACATCTTGCACAGTCAGGGCGGAGTTCTTGTCCTCTGTGTTGACCCTGATGACACCGTGGCTCAGGCCGCCCATGGAAAGAATGGCACGGGCGGGGAGAGGTGCGCCAGGGACTCCCGGTCTACACAAGAGAGAGTTTGATCAAACATGAACATTTTCCCTCCTTCCCATCTGTTCTCACAGTCAGCCATCTGCCCACCCACCTATGTACACCACCACATAAGACAGACTGCATCTTCATTCACCCTGCCAGACCAGTCATTTTATTAATCATCACATCCTTTCATGGGTCTTAGATTGAAATAGAGGGAAGAAATTGGAGGTTGGTGGGACAAAAAACTTTATTTTTCATCTTACATAATGCTTAAAAAAATCTAACAGGATATATGATTAAGTGACATACCTGCGTATAGCTACTGTCATGGCCTCAGGGGAGGTGGCACAGGGACAGATAACCTCAGGCTTCAGCCCGTGGGACTGAAACACGTTCAGGAAGGCATCACAGGAAGACACCGACCCTGGACAGCAGAGAGATTCAACATATTACATCTAATTTGTGGCGCTTGAAAATAACTAGTTTTGCAAAGCTGGGAGTCATGAAGCACTCACAGGGGTTAGCACCATCAGCAACCACCAGCATACGTAACGAAGCCAGACTGGTGTCTCTCTGCTCCCTATGGGCCATCATGGCCCAGTGTAGATCACGGCACTTCACCAAAGCTACACGAGCTGCACGGGAATGAGAGTGACATGTCGTGTTAGACGAGAAATTCTTTTATATGGCATTACTATTCACAAGCTGAGAGACCAGTGTAATTTACCTTTGTGGATGTGGACCCTTTGCACCCAGGAGAGAGGACAAGCCTTCATAACAGCATAAGGAACACTGATTGTGTGTATCCTGTTCATCACAGCCTAGAAATAAACAAAACCTGATTAAGCAGCTAATACAGTCTCTATTTTTTTCACCATCATGACAAAGACCTCACATGGGGACATTTTACTAAACGATGTTCTTAAATTATAGAAATCTTTAAAAAGACTCCCCATCTTCCAACAGAATCTGAGAGTTTATTGGTCTAATTGCTAAAAAGCTTAGTGCTTTAACAGTCAAATAGTTTAGTTTATTGTGCCACTAAAAATGCTGTAAAGTGTTAATAAATTCAATTGCATAAATAACTGCAGTGGTATTATGTGGGTGAGATAAACAACAACACAACATCAAGTCCCAAAAAAACAATGGGACTTTTTATCTGTCCATCACAGAATCCATGAGGTTTTTATGATTTGGTGAATTTACCAGATACTTGAGAACACAGACCATAAAATCCCCTTTTCTGTTCTGTTCTGGTGCGACTAGAATAATCTAAAAGCACTTATCAGGAAGCACCAGAGTAAAGAACCTACTGTAGACAGACAGCTTGCATGTGCATTAAATCATATGTAAACACACCCATGCATACATCGACACACTTACCGTGAGTACTCCATGCCACAGGCCCATATCCTTTTTAAAGTCCAGGACATTCACTAAAGTTTCCCCTTAAAGTGATGAAAGGCAGAAGTGACTTCAGACTTAAATAAAACAACTGTATGAATAATAAAAATAAATCTTCAGATGATGATGACAATGCAGGTCTTTACTCACCCTCACAGTAGTTGCAGGCCTGGGTCAGTGCTTGACAGTGGGTCAACATGGCAACTTTAGACACAGCCACACCCACCACTGTGCCATCTTTACTCGCCTTGTACTACACAGAGAAGAAACACAAGAGGAACCTGTGAACACTTGTGTAAACTGCAACAAGCTTGTCTTTTCATATCACATCAGGATGCAGGAATGGTTTTAATGTTCCCAAATTAAATACTGTTCTTTATTGTGACCCAGTTGTGTGCCAGACAACCGCCAGTTACACAATATAGTCTCCGTAAAAGCAGTAACTGGATAATGTAACCTGCAGCAGCTCTGTTACCTCTATATATGCAGGGTCAGTGTTGGCGGTGGGGATGTGTGGCTGCCAGTCTTTGGAAGGCTTGGTCAGGTATTTTGAGTCTGTCACCACCCACTTTAGTCGAGGCCAGCCTATCAGAGAAAGGAATCAGTGAAAGTAAAATCAAGGGTGCTTACAATTTACTTCAGAATGTAAAAAAGGGATATTCATCACCTCTTCATCACAACACCATAGAGTACAGAGTACACAGTACCCTTTGCATAACAATGTTGTGCACAAACAGTCTGAAGGTGACCTGAAATTTAGCCATCATGTTTTACTTTCAGCAGTATTTCATACAGACCTTTAAACTGCAGTATTTCCCCGGTGGGCGTCTTGGGTAAACCTTTCAGACAGATCTCACTGGTCAGAGCCAGACCGACACCACAGCTACCGAGCAAGAACCCCACCTGGCTGATACCAGCATCCTAAAAACACAACATACATATTCATAGTTAAACAGAAAAAAATATTTCTGTACTGACAAAATTCACATGTTCCTGTGAGGGTTTTTATTTTACCTTGCGAGAGAGTGGTACTTCAATAGGTACAGGTATAACTTCAGCCAGGAGACAGCCGTAGAAGGCTACCCAGAACATCCCAGGGTCACTGTTGGGGTACACCAACGCCACCTACAAAGATATAAAACTTTACATTTAGGATCGTTTTACATTAAATTAGAAGGAGAAAAACATGTCTGTATGGACATAAACACTGATGGTAAAATGTTTTCTGAGTATTTTCTGAGTAATAACAGGTTTGCAGCTCTCTGAGGCTGCACTTTGAGCTAAATGCTAACATCAGCATAGGAACGTGCAGAATAACAATGCTAACATTAAGAGGTGAGTTACCATGTTCACCATCCTAGTTTAGCACTTAAGATGCTAACATTTGCTAATTCGCACTAAATGCGCGCAAAAGAGCAGCAATCATGGTAATTTCATGACAATTCAGATTTTTGTAATCTAAAACTTTATTTCTTCTTATAGTGAAATAATTTCTACCTATTACCCATAATTCAAATGCAACAATAAAATAATTTTCCAGAGCTGATACGGGTTCAGTTCAACTGGGCTAAAAGTAACAAATATACAGGTTTAAAATGAAGGACTGCAGGACTGCCAAATGTTTCATTCCTGTGTGTTAAATTAATGTGTCAGGATGAATTGTTTAATACATTTGTTGTGTGTATCTGTTTTCTGTCAGTGTGTCAGCCCTCTCACCCGGTCTCCAGGTTTGAGGATTTGCTCATTCTTGGTGCCCAGCTTGTTCAGGAGGGTGTATGCCAGCTTCACGCTGCGACTCCACAGCTTCCCTAACAGACAGAAGGTGGAGCAGGGAGGAGAGAGTTAGGAGGGTAGGTTATATGTCTTCCCACTGCCAAAAGCACTCATGTCACAGAGTACACACATCTTTTTATTATCTAGATGAACTCTTGAACTCTTAACATGAACCTTTCAGTTGTAACTCCCAGCAGTTGTATGTAACAGCTACTGATCTGACACGATAAATGTAATTTCCGGAGTCTCACCATAAGTCAGTGTATAGAGGGGTTTTCCTGTGATGTCAAGAGCAGTAAGGGCGGGGCTCTTCCCCTGAGTGGCCCCCCAACGGGCCAACGCTGCCTGCAGGGCGGGGGGCCAGTTACTGACCACTCCCAAAGGCTCCCCTTTCACCGGGATGATCTGACGGCCCTCTGGCTTTGGTGTGTTGGGGTCGGGCTGGGGCACTGTGTGAGAGAGAGGCAGCAGAACACTTATGGGTATATACCAGATTGATCAGATTCATTCTTTGCTATTTTAATTGCCTAAATATGTGAAGAATAAATTTTCAAAGAAAATAGACGTAGACTAGACTTTGCGTAAAGAACATCCTAACTTCACTCAAAGTGGCAACCTATTTTCTGTGATATGTGAGGTAAAATGACTGTTTTTGTCTATGTAGTCCTGTGGCATGCGTTATTACAGCCATATTCTGACTGTTTCTGGTTAAACAAAAGGTCCATCTTCAATCTGAGCTTGTCAGTGGAAAAAAGTTGGTGATTGTTGGAAAGACTGTGGAAAGACTAACAAAAACAGTTTTGGTAAGTTTTATTTTGTTTCTGTCCAGTCTCAAGTGTGTTTTATGATTATTTGCTAGGTAAAAGTAAAAAGTTTTGTCAATAGAGTCCGTAGCACCCATTGTTTTAGTCTGAGATGCTAATGCAAGTTAATTTTGTATATATATATATATATATAAAAGTAGAAATGTAAGGGACATTTGATGAAGTGTTTCATGAAGCTGCGTACCTTCCACGATCTCCTCTGAGTCGTCGGTGAAGAACTCACTGAGCGGGGGCCTCTTTGGTCTCTTCAGGGTGTTGAGCAGCTGTTGGATCTTTGTGGACACTCTGCTGCTCACAGGAACTCCTACACGCAGGATGAAGGTGGAGAAGGGAAAGTGGCAGGACAAACATACAGTCACACACTCACCATGGCTCATACACACGGTGACAAAACACTACATGTTTAAATTTCTTACCATCTCATAGTCTGCTGCTCTTCATCTCATTACACAAGATACTGTTTGTTTTTGTGAAGATTTAAGTTGATTGTAATATCTTTTTGGGAATGAAAAGCAGCATACATAGGTGGCAACAACACGAGGAAAACACGGTGAGAACTGGGGTAAAAGTTTTTTTTTGTTTGGGATCACACGTGAGGATTCATTCTGTGTGTGGATGTTGTTTTTGTTGCATTTATTTCTATAATCATTCATTACAAACAAGAGGGAGAGTAAGGGTACAACAGCAAACACAGAAGGCTAGGGACATTATACATTAAGGAGTGTCCTTACTCTGGATATTACCTCTTCCTATCAGCCAGTCAAATAAACATGTGACAGGGTAGAGAAAGATCAAGAAGAGAAGAAAGCAGTAAAGTCTGATTAATGAAATTTTATAATGACACTTATTTTGAAGAGAGAAGAGATTTGTGAGTGGAGTCAGAGGCTTCCGCAGAGACACACAAACAATTAAAAAATGCTATGTGGTTAAGTCGTTACCATCCGCGGTCTCCATCATGCTTGAGCGGCTCTGCCCGCGGCTCATCCCTCGGACCACGGCATTGGAGGGTAGATCCACCCGCGATCCTCTGGATGGAGGAGCCACAGCTGTCACATCTGGAGGGGGGCCGCTATTCTCTGAGGGGGCTGCAGGTGAAGGAAGGGAGGACAGTCTGAAACAAGCCATCTTAAAGTTTCAGCTTGCTTTCTTATTAAATTTAACCAGGCAGCGGATATTAACAAGTGTACAGAGACATAATAGAGCACATAGAAGGTATAACACTGTGCAAAGTTAAAATTGAGTCAAATGGTCAAATATATATCCATTTAAGTTTTAAAAATCAGCAGTAAAACGTTTAATTGTGACATTTTAAGTGTTAGGAGTTACGAGTAATGAATAATTGTATTTGAATTAAGAAACTATGATGTCCAAAATCAAGAATGAACCTTTTCTTCATGAGTTTTGAACACATTTAACAGTTTTGAATGATCACTACGTGTATAATACTGTGTTATCAATCATTCACTAACTGTTTATATGATAGCAACAAACGCTTGACAGGACAATTCTAATTATTATTGATGAAATAGAAACACTTTATCAATAAATTATTAACTAAAATCACACCACCAAGCCCCAGAACTGGCTGGTATCTCCTGTAATAATCAATCAGTTTTGGTCAAACCAAATAAACAGCAGTCACATCCATGAATATTTCACACCAGTCAAAAATCAGTGGAGTGTCTCACCAATGCGACTATGAGCCAGCATGTCCGCCACAGCTGCAGCGTGGGGATGTTCATGTGACTGTTGCTGAGACTGGTGCTGGTGCTGGTGCTGTGGTTGGTAGTGAGGCTGATACAGAGGTTGGTACTGCGGCTTGTACTGGGGCTGGGGTTGTGGCTGGGACTGAGGGTGAGGGTGAGGGTGAGGGTGAGGGTGAGGCTGAGGCTGAGGCTGGCTCTGAGGCTGAGGCTTGGCCTCTCCGTGGGACAGGGTTGAGGAGGCCGAGGAGGAGGTGGAGGAGCCCTGGACGGTGCGGTTGATCCAAGAGTCCGGGCTCTGCAGGTTGGGATTGACCATAGGCGGAGGAGCGACTACTGAGGACTGCCTGCGCACAGACGTCTCATCTTCAGAACCTGATGAGGAGTCTGAACAAGAGAGAACAAAGTGTGAATTATCCAGCTCTGTATCCTCCCTGGCTGACGGTCAATCTGTAGGACTTCTGTCCTTCTTCCTGTCCTACCTGGTGGTGTGCGGGTTTCAATGGGAGATTGCACATAAGTGGAGCGTCGCTTGGTAGGCATGGGTAGTGCCATCTTCTCTTCTTTATGTTTAGCCAGAGCAGCTTGTACTGCCTCAGTATGGATATCTGCATTGACAATGCAACAATGCAATTTGAGTTAGTGGCGGCTTGACATGATCATTACAGCTGTGGATCTGTTACTAAACAAGGACACAATAAAAGAAACAACAAAAACATTTCAAATGGACTCATCAAAAGGCCATTTGCGCTCAACACATTTCTTTAAGAGATTTTTGTGGGCACCTTCATTGGTTAGTGTGGTGTGATTCAGATTCAAATTGCTAAATGTTTTCCTTCTTCTGTCCTATTTTCCTTCTTAAAATGCTTCCTTTCCCTCATTGCTGCTTGAATAATGCTATTATTTAATTGTAATTGTTTAATTGTGTTGTGAGACCTCTAGATCAGTGGGTTCCAACCAAGTTGATCTGCGCTCAAAAGCCCCTGCTTCAAAAAAAACAGTAGAGGAAGGGCCTGGGAACTAAGTTTAGATCCTGGCTCCTCTAGTCGACAGGCAGATAAAGAATCCTGCACTGCAACAAAAGTTATGCGGTTCCTGGAAAAGGCCCTGCTGTCAAAAAAGGCAAAATAAGGAGCCTGGGATGGTAGGAATAAAAAGGAATGCAGTGATTTGAACTATTTGTACAATTATTTCAGTAGAAAGAAATCTGCCACATAATATGCAGCAGGATGAATCGGTTAACTGGACAGAAAAGCCGAAAAACATAATATATCAATACATCTGTTAAATTGTCACTCTGCTCTCAGTTTACACGCTAATTCAACCTATGACGACTTTGTTTTCAATGTATGGTTGCCACTGATTTATTTCTTTCTAGTAATTTTTGACAGCAGCATCTCAGTCAGCAAGGCTTTAAACATGTTAGAAAAATAAGAGTGAAGAAGTCAGGATAAAATCCTAAGAGGATGAGTGTGTTTTCCCACAGGAAACCACGACAGAAAGAGAGAGCAAATCAGCCCACACACTTGCCTACACACATGCGCACAGTAATAAATGCAGAGATACTTTCACTTGATGACACCCACAAGCACATTAAACACAACCACGTGAACAGCCACACATTCAGACTATGTAACAACACATGTGCAACAAAAGCCCACTCACTGACAAATCACATCTATTAACTCAGGGGACACAAATTCCATTCAAACATCAAAACATTTAAATAAATCATCAAGCACAGCTCATTGCACAGCAGCAGTGGGGACCATGATTACATAACTGGCATTCTGCTGAACAGATCGCTCGGGGCTAAATCATTTTCTCTCATAATGTGCCCATCGTCCACCCTCACACAGGGGCGTCAGGAGAGGCTGACTCCTTACACATGTCTAGGAGGGTCTGTCTGCGTGGCGACAAGCATGGTGGGGTGCGTGGAGGCTTGTGGTCTGTTTCACACCAGCTCCAATCAAAACTGAGAATGCACGTATGAGCAGCTAACGGCCTTAGTCTGGTATGATCTTTTATATGTTTACTATTATACATTTGAATCAGTCCAATCATTTACAGAGCAAACACGTGTAACTGTAGAGACAGTAGTCTCTCAGGAACCAATCAACATTGGATTTTATTGAACGCGGTACACAGACAGGTTGTTAAAGAGGAGTAATAACTGAAGGAAGCTCTAGGAGATGAGAATTAAGGTTGTTCTGCACTTTCTCTGCAGCCCATAAAATGATAAATGCTTTAATCTCTTCCGTTTTCCCATTGCTGCGTTTTATCATTTCTTCTTATTATTTGTTTATGCTGGCTGTCTCTCCTAAAACTCTGGATTTCCATTTTTACACATTTTTCAGATCGTTTGCGTTTATGATCAAATACTTGCAAAAAGAGTGTGTTTAGTGCTAATGAGCAAATGTTAGCTTGCTAAAACACTTAACCATATATTCAGCCTGTGTGCTCAAGTACAGCCTCACAGAGCGCGTACTATGGCTGTAGAGCCCTGTAGTGTGTTGTTGCCTGTTGGTTTACACAAGGTGGAGACCTCTGACTGCTTGGCGGCAGCTGTGTCTCAGGAGGTAAAGCAAGCTGTCCGCTAATCAGAAGGTTGGTTGTTCGATCCCCGGGGTCCTCCAGCTGCATGTCGATGTGACCTCGAGCAACATACTCAACACCCAATTGCTCCCCATGCTGTGTCATCAGTATGTGTGAATGATTAGCTTCTTTCTGATCAACAATTTATAACTGCCGCCCCTTGATGAATGTGACATTGTAGCGTAAAGCACTTTGAGTGGTCAGAAGACTAGAAAGGGGATATTTAAGTGCAGTCCGTTTCTGCAATTTAATTTCATTCTGCCAAGTCCGAAATACTCCAGTTTTTTAGGTACGTGTAGCTAAAACCAATGCTGTCTAATACACTACCCCTGCAATAAATCTTCCCTCCGTGAATGTTCTAATGTTCAGCTTTTATTGAAACTGAGGTGATTCAACTTTCTGATCATTTTGAAGGCTGTAGTGGGTTGTGCTGTTGAACTGTATGGTGTTATACAGAGAGGGGTTTCTATTATTTTATCCACCCCACTTATATCAATGAGTGGAGGCAAAATAATGGAAACATCTCTCTCACTAGCTGATAAACTGGCAACTGGCAACGTTTTGGAAAAAATGACACAGTAAAATCCATCAGCATTGATCGAAAAATGAAAATTACAGGTGTGCAACACTACACAACCGGAAGCTATAGGAGGGCTATAGACTACATGAATTCAGTATATTTTATTTAATACACAAATTAATGATTACTCATGTATGATAACTCAATTTACTGCTCACTACAGAGTAAACTATAAGTTATTGAGTAGTGAAATAGGAAGTAAAAGAGGGATATCACATACTTGTCTTCCTGCTCCCTTTAAAAGCTGCCTAATCTAAATCAGTGCACTGTTACTGTACTTGAACTGTAGTACACTGCAGAGAAAAATGGATGGCACACTCATCACATGGCAAAAGGCTCCTCATCCCTCTTGTCCTTGCTCTAAGTTCTTATCCTCCTGGCCGTCTCTTTCAACTCATCAGTCCTACAAAACTTTACTTCTGCACTGTTAAAACCCAAGACAATGCAGCACCACTTTCCACCAAGTCCTTTTCATTTTCAATCATTCCACTTCTATTTCTAGATATATTGCACCAATCTCAATTGTTGCCTTTATGTTTTCCAGCTCTAATCCTCTCTTGGTTGAATCCTCCTCCCCAAATCACATAAAAAATAAAAGATATTCTGTTACTGATCAGATTTTCTATTGCAACAAAGCATTTCAAACAACCCCCTCTGCCACCAGACTCCAGCCTAACAGACAGACTTAGTGAACCTTGTATTTAGCATGCTGGTGTGTGAGGGTGTTTCATATGAGAGGCAAGAATTGTTGAAAAAGGCGAGCAGGAAGAGAGAGTTAAGAAAAAAAGACAGCAGGGTGTGGGTCGATCTGGAGGGAGGATGCTTTTACAGTCTGAACCACAGCTAACAGACAAATCCTCCTCACATGCTCTGTGCTCTTTCACCTCTACTCTACTGCTCTGTTTTCCTTTATCCTCGCCAGCGTCAGGTTTTCCCCTTCCAGATCAGTATTCCCCTCTTCTCCTCTCAACCTCCTCGCACATAGCCAGGCAGTGACATCACTCTGCTTTCACAGAGTGGGGGTCCTCTGTGAGGGGCTCCCCATCTGCAAGGGCTGCACTGTCTCTCTCAGCCCCTCACACACACACACACACACACACACACACAAGCTCTTCTTTAATTGGTCCCTTGGAAACAGCCCAGTGTCTGAGCTAAAAAAACAGTCTGGCTCAACAAGTGAAGCTAATGTCATTTAGGCAAATTTGAGCACTGCAAAGTTATCAGAGGAAACCATATCTGTCCTCACTGATTGGTGCATCAGAGGTGTTTTACATCTGGGGAAAAAAAGGTGAAGCTGAGTGTAGTTTCTCTTTTTTCTTTTAATGTTGGAGTCCTGACCTGATCTGTAGCGGTCATCCCTGGTCCCTCCACTGCGATGTGTTCTGCGGGAGTGACGTTCTCTGTAACGGGACGAGCCGGAGGGGGGAGGGGCATGGTTGGAGGAGGAACTGGAAGCGGGAGGCTGCACGTCAGGCTGACGGGGCGGCTCCACTGTCAAGTACATAAACAACAAACATTTTAAAAAACACATGAGAACTGGCTTCTATCTGGCCTCTAAGATAGTATGATCTCTGCTGCCTTAATGGTAATTCCATGTAGCATCAGAGGCCATGTCTGTCAACAGCATCCGTACTTAACTTCTGCCTCTTTTAAGACAGTGTATGTAAAAACTTCCTTTCTACAATTTTCTGTTTTCTGTGAACAATAACATATTTAACTTATACACGATATATGTTATATGGTGTAGGGAACTGGACAATTCTTTGATTTTAATTAGTATTAGTATGACTATGATTATTATAGTTTTCTATAAAGTTTATTTTCTTTTTCTTTAGCATATTCATCTCACCAAGGAGTAATTTAATTAACATATCGCAATGTTATATTCGATTATTGTCGGTGCTTGTTCCCTGAATTTGTTCTTTTTGAGAATTACAATAAAGATGAAGAGATAATTCAAATTAGTCTGTTACTACATATATAGATACATAGATATATAAATATTATATATGCACAATATAAAATATTATATACACACGTATATCCCAGTCCCAATAAACAACAGGAGGAGGCAGCAGTGAGCATTATCAGGTGTCATTTATAGAAACAGCTATTTACAGAACATTTACTGCTATCTTCATCAAGTTTACATTTCTTACAATTAAACTGTAATGCAGTTCTGTTTTTAACAGTTTATAAACACAACATTTACAGTGTCAGATCCAGGTTGAAATAACCTGTCATAAGAAGACATGAATGTGAAAATAAAATGAGAGATAGGGGGTACACAGGTATGCTTGTGTTGAGAGGCGATGGTACCTGGAGTATGGATGAAGTAGGGAGCCAGGAGTTTGGTCCTTTTCTTCTCATAGCCCTTCTGTGTAATGTCACCTGTAAATGAGCACAGAGAAAAGAGTGACTTCACTTACAGGCTGGGCAAAGCCAAGGCCACTTAGAGTTGATAGTATTCGAATAAACAGCAGTAACTTTCAACATTTTAGGGGAAGCCTTTTTATATTCTGCATAACATGCTAGCCATTTAAATGCTTGAGTATAAAAAAGACCCATTCAAAAAATAAACTGAATTAGGACTGAACACTGATCTACGTTCCCTCATGTGTCTGAATGTGATCTATTACCACCTGTTCAAACACGAGAATGGTGATACAGAGGGGAGAGAAACAGGTAGAACAACAAAACTTTGTAAAAGAGAAGATGGAAACACAGATGGATGCACACAGCGTGGCAGTATTCTCCAGAGATGGCTGAGGGCGTCAAAGATGTGGCTTCATTCCAGCCTCAAGTACGGCACGAAGGGAAAAACAAAACAGGACTAAATTTAGAAACATACGGAAGCGTGGGCAAGGGATGGGATGATTCACAGAGAGAAAACCGAGAGGCATTAAAGTTATGGGTAAGAAAAAGTGGGAGACGCATGGAGATAAAACAGGAGCCCAGAGGAGGAAGTGACGATGAAGATGAGGAGAGAGACAGATGACAGAGGTGAGTGAGTGCTTCCAGAGGACAGAAGTGGAGGAATCTCGAGTCATGAGAGGCAGAGAAGCAAAATGTCCCTCCTATCCCTCCTGCTGACAGCCCATCTGCATCTTCCTCCAGCCCACCAGACACAACACAGGCTGACTGAGCTCTCTGCTGGCCCTGAAGCGATGCAGTGACTCTGCCAAACTCCTCTGTGGGCAAAGCTGTCAGATTTTCAGACACGTACAAAAAATCCATCTGGAGAGCCTGCACTCACTTTTCTAGTAACTGTGTTGAGCAGCGATGATTCATTCTGTATGGCCGCCAGTGGCTGCCCTGGCCACTCTCAAACCTCATCTTAATCATGAAGACTGTTTCGCTGTTTTTTTTTTTTTTTTTTTAAATCACAAAATTATTACAGTATGTATAAGAATAAGGGAGTTAAGACAGAAAACTAAACAAGCCTGTGACTGTTCTGCAGTTGTATCATCTCCAGGAGCCACGAGAGTTAATCCCTGATTAAAAATTAGGCTGCTGAGACGCACAGAGACGAAGGTTTGAAGCTGTCTGCCACTGATGTTGTCTCTTCCCAGTTACACCACAGAGGACAATAGAGATTAGATGAGGATTTCTGGACACAAGTGAACAACTGCCAGGCACACAACAGACCTTGCTTGGCGATTCGGTTGAATTCCCTTAACTTCGTTACTATTTTTGCAGTTTGGGCTGATATCTGGGAACAAGGCAACATCACTACAACAAAGTCTGATAAGACAAGACACTTGAGCGCTCAATCTCGACTTTCAAACCAACATTGATGAGGAGTGCTCAGAAAAATGAACATTTGAACATAATATTGCACGACAAATGGACGAAATCCATCTACAGAGGAGGACGTGATATGATTGACAGCTACAGAACAGCTACTAATGGGCCTTGTGGTGAGACTGTCTCTTGCTGTTTCCAAGGAAAAAAACTAAACTTCAATCACAAAAATAGTTTAGCCAAATGATCTAAACCACTTTATTTGGAGATAAAATCTAAACTGAACACGCAGAATACACCGATCAGCAATAACATTATGAGCACTGAATAACGCTGATTATCTGGTTATCATGGCACCTGTCAGTGGATGGGATATATTAGGCAGCAAGTGAACATTTGATGACTTGGTCAGAGCACCTCTACAAACTGCAGCTCTTGTGGGATGTTCCTGGTCTGCAGTGGTCAGTATCTATCAAAAGTGCTCCAAGGAAGGAAAAGAGGTGAACCGGAGACAGCGTCAAGGCTATTGATGCACATGGGGAGTGAAGGCTGGTCCATGTGGTCCGATCCAACAGAAAAATCTGGCTAACCTTGGAATTTGTTTAAAACCCTGTCTTACCACTCGTGTCTCTTACCCTGTTGTGTTCCCACATCTGACCAAATAACTTGAATACAATTTTATTGTTGCTAAAATAGAAATGATGGGTAATACTACAAAAATAAGACCCATCTGTAATAAGCCACAAGGATATTCAGTAATTCACCAGATGGCAAACATACTGTACGCCATAAAAATAGACAGACTGGTGTCTAATGCAATGAACTGAACTGTGCTATTCAATAAAAAATTATAATTTAATAGAATGTGCCTGGGATCATCACTTGAACGAGAAATTGTAAAAAGACGACCTGATATGATTACATCAAAGACAATACACAAATCAAACTTTACATTTAAACGCTGTTTGATCATCTAAGCTGACGTAACATCTTTACATCCACCACAGTTCTTCAGTACCAACAAATTGCCCATCTACTCAGTTAAAGCACCATACCGCTGACACACTACAGACGAGCGGACAGAAATGAGAGTGCTCATGTTTGGAGGATATTGCCTGAGAGCCCACTCCAACACAATATCTATTCGGGGACTGGTGCTCTTTTTTCCAGAAGAAAAAAATGGAAGAAAAGCAAACACTTCCATAAGTAATGCATGAACGGTACAGTTGGCCTGGCTCAGTCACATGATTTATTTTTAGCTCATGTGAACAGGCAGTTTCTCTGCAGAAAAGGGGAGAGAGAGAGAGAGAGAGAGAGAGAGAGAGAGAGAGAGAGAGAGAGAGAGAGAGAAATAAAGAGAGGCGGATGGAGTCGGCCATGGGGGAGGGTCTGGGGTGGCATTAAATGAAAAAAGTAATCACTCTTCCATCTGGATGATCTGAAATTCATCTGTTTTTTTTTTTTTTTAAATGGTTGTATCATCAGAGTGAGGCTCCAGCAGTGGGAGCTGAAGAGTTAAAAAAAAAAAAAAAAGGGCTGCATTCAATCAGTAAACTACATGAGGACAGAGCTACATAGTACCAGACAGGAAATGAAAATGTGGCAAAACTGGCAAACTGGTACATGAGAAAAATGAGAAAAAGCCATTATAATATCTGTTTATTGTTTATTATTCAGGACACTTTGAGCAGCTGGAGCTGCATCTTATGTATGAAACAAACAATAAACAAATAAAACTGATTTTCCTGTGACTTAGTTCCAACATACGACGGGAATCTGTTACCGTCTGCTCACAGTTTACACGCAAATAAACAGTGAAAGAGATGTGGTTAAGAGGTGAAGCACCGCTCCGCTGAGGTGATGAGGGCCTCTCTCGTTAACCCACTTTCCCACAGTGACCCAGTCATGTCCGGCGGAAGTCACAATCAAACCATTTCAGCGACGAGCTAACAGTAAGGCATTGCACGAAGTTCCTCTTTCATCTCAGTTTGACAGCTGCATGGGTGAAGAAGACTTGTGCGTTCACCTCGGAGCGTGTGTGTTTTATTTTTCCACAATCTGGAGAGAGAAACATCAAAGCTGTGCCTTCTCTCAGTACCCGGAGCACTCTCACACTGGCTAGCCTCGGATTATTTGAATTGCAGCGAGACTGCTCTCGACTTCTACCCCACAGGCACTCCGTCTGAATAGTAATTAGCTACCGACCTCTATTCTCTTTCCCTGCTCTTTCCTCTCCCTCAGTTGCTTTCTCAGGAAAACAGTTTGAAAACACGTCCACACCTGCTCACCAAAAATGATCCAAAAATTCAAATATTACAGCGACTTCCAGCTGTCATCTCACAGAAAAAAAAAGACGCTGATAGTGGCTCCAAGTCAGATCTTCTAAATTTAATAAACCAAATCGGTTCAAATATTTGATTATGTGACTGCTGCAACAGGCATTATACATTATAAAGCTCCAGAATAAAGAATGACATATGGTCCCCTTCTGTTTGGTACTTTGCCATCTCTGCATTTGCTGATATGAGTTCAAGTGTGTTATTTTCATGGGGAGGGTTGTTGTTTATTTCCCAAACCAACCTTCCCAAAGAGCCGTCACATTTTTATCTGTAGAACAAACACCCTACTGAAACCTCCCAGCTGCCTCCTCTTTACCAGCAGGCCGAGCCTCCAACTCAGCCAAAAGATCACCCACTCACTGCGTCCACACACTCACGCACACCAGCCTGACCACAGCTACAGGACAGTTGCACTTGGACGACATAATGCTGCATAAGTTAGGCAGAAAAAGTAAAGTGAAGTCAAAGTGAAAAGTGGTTTGACGACTAAACGCAGGATCATATATAATCATCTCTACATATGTGGTGTGAGAAGTGTCTGTCTCTGCATGTTTATACTTGCTGTCTGTCAGAAATCTCAGAGGAGGAGCCCACAGTGCAGAGTGCATGTCAATACAGGACTGCAAGCGTGTCAACAGGAACGTGCACTTCAATGTGTGACTGACCTTTCGGGTGACGGCGCTACTTAGACCACATTCAAAACTTAATACATACTTATTAAAGCCCTTGGCATCCACATTATACTCTTATTTCTCTTTAAGTAGCTTTGGGGTAAGAAAAAATATATTATTTCACTGACTTCTGACAAGATTACACATATTCGGGGGCAGATTGTTTCAGCTTGTCATTTAAGCTATAATGTTTAACTTGAATTAAACATTCAAACTCATCTCACACATTTTTATGGTTACATGAGTTGAGATCAGTAAAAAATCTGTTTAAAGTTCAAATCAGATATATTATTTTGTATCTTTAAACCAAGAGAGTCTTAATCATACATTATTACAGGTTTTTTTTAATTGCTTAGGCAAATTTCTTAAAAGTTGCAGTTCAGCAAGGTCCCATCATCATTGCTTAGGTCAAGACAGTCTAATGAACTGCGTCAGTATGACAAAAGGACAATAAAATTGGGTGTCTTTATGTCATTGAGACTTACATATACACCCAATAATGAGATCAAATATCCTCTATAAACAACTGAATAAACTCATGTAACACAAACAGAAGTTTCAACAGTCTATTCAGTATCGCTTATGTAACAGTAATGTCAAACTGAAAGCAGAGATGTGAAAGAACAGACAGCAAATG